ATTAATTAAAAAAAATAATACAGCAGTACAAACAAGTTCCTGTCGTGGACAGCGAGTGGAAGAGGAAACTCCCATGAAGTCAAGTGTACGTTTTTCTTATTGAAAAACAGTTCCGTACTTTAAATTAACGGTCTAAACTCGTGTTTGCCATTCACAAATTACCAAACAATACATTGTTTATTCCAGTAAGATGCGGCAGACTTTCTGCACATACAAATAAACAACATGCTTTTGCTTTGTATTTTCGCTTCGCGTAGCCTTGCTTAGATTGTTTATATCAGGCTACAAAGCTTGCGCGCAGGTTAGATTGTTTATTTCAGGCTACGATGTATCTACGAAGCCTGCGCGCAGGTAAAAGTGCAATATTTCATGACTGTACTGTACATGCATTTATCTAAGTTCACAGAAAAGCACAACCCTCATAAGTAAATATCGATGAATTCAAGGATTGAACAAATGAAAGTACTGTATAAGTGCAGCATACAATAGTTTTGACATAAAACTTATCAGGCATTTATAGACATTATCAAGTTGATCTATCCATGATGATATTCACATTTGCTTAAGAGATAGGAATGCTTTTTTTTTATGGCTACACAATATAATACTTATATTTACTAATGAGAGGATTGTTGTCCTCTGCTCTCTACGGTAGGTACACTGTTTGCTTTTGTGGACTTATATTACAGAATATAAAATTGATAATACTGATAATTCATTAGAGTTTTATAGTAATGCCATATAATTTAGTATTACTCTCTTGGATGTTAAGATACCTTCCAATCCAATAAAATATTGCAGGATTTTTCTTGCAAAATGACTGAAATTCCAATCACGAAAGAACGAAGCTACATAGTGGTCAGTTGTATCTCTGCTAAGCTGATTTGTGTCACCTAGATACATCCAAGATACACCCTCATCGTTGATGTTTATCAATGAAACTATTATCACAATTAGAAAAAATTGACTTCCTGATGTCTATTTTCAATTGACTGACATGAAGTCATTATAACTATTAAAATTGATTGATATTAAATCAACCAGATTACAAAGCATCAAATTAATTGAGTTAAATTGGTCCAGTCAATTAAAATTATTAACTTATTATGAAGTGCTAATAAAACGAGTTCAGATTGATATAAAATCAATTAATATAAAATCATTAAAAATTAATTACCATTCAATTTAGCCTATCCTCCTTCCTACCACCCCCCCCCCCAAAAAAAATTCAAAAATAGAGAAAATGGGGTTGAGTACGAAAAGTAAATTTCAGTATAAGAGTGCCATTTCTTACCAAGTGCCAGGAACACCAAAGTTTGTACCACTATGGTTGGGACTGAGAAAGCGCTCTGGACCATCGATCTGTAAACTTAACTTTCTACACCTCCACCCCCTTCTATTTTCAATTCCTAGATTCATCATAGCTAATGTACTCATTTTCTTCTTTTTCTAGCACTTTTGTAAAAAAAACAGAAGGATGACATTTCATTTCATTTTTTTTCTTCTGAAAACATGGACCAAAAAAAACAATAATAATAATTTAAAAAATTGATTGTATTCCAACATGATATATGTGACTAATTTAAAATATGTCATATGCAATAACATATTAAATAATTCTACACTTGATTTGTAAATATCAATGAAGTCAAAGATTGAACAAATTCAAGTACACAGTACGCAATACAATAGTTTTGACATAAAACTCAGTCATTTATGGAATAGTAGGTCTACTAAAACAACTATTATTTGGAAATGTTCAGTAAACCACTCCATGTGTAAACTAACTAGGGCTGATAACCTTAAACTATTTTGATAATACAAGTTCAATAACATTTTTAATTTGTTCAATCCATGATGATAATGATTTACTTCAAATATACGGTTATGAACTTGGCTAATAAATAAACTGCAGATTTTGTTGACTTTAAAAAAATATATATAAATAAATAGTAAATACTGAGAGGATAATGTGGTAATATGATTGGCTGGAAGTACACTATCTACAATTGTGTTATACTGTAGGTTGTGTTTACATTGATAAACTGATTAGAATGTTACAGTAATACCATATAAAAACCCACAATCTAAAACTAGCTACCATTTGATGTCATCTTGTATTCAGTCCTGTATTATGAACAACTGAGGAAGTGATTGAAACAACATTTTTTTTATAAAAAGGTAAGCATTATCCGAAAGGTCCACTGATCAATCGCAGACAAGAAAGTATAATAGGCCTACATAGGCCTCTCCAAGTATTGAAATGCATACCACCATATCAGGATTCAATATTTTGACATTAATTATGTCAATATCAGGAATCATTCTCGATGACGACGTAATTAATGTTGAAATATTGAATCTCAACACGATGGCGTGCATTTCAATACTTGAAAGTATGTATTATACTTTCGTAAGCAATATATTGTGCAGTTCAATGTTCTGATATAATAAATTTTGTTTAAGTTATATAAATTCAATAGGAAATTCGTACATACACCTTAAGTTATAAAGCGTGCTGAATAGTCCTCTCTCTAGTATCCAAAACTCCAAGGGTCCCATGTGTGCCGTATATCGCTGGATTCTCCAGGAAATCGGGATGGCCTCCCACACTAATGCATGAATCTCCCGGAAAATGACCCATCTTCCCCAAATTCAAAATATTTGCACATGTTTACTATTTTAGGCAAGACTTTTTTTATATTTTGTTTTGCGAGTCCACCGCCCTCCAATATTAATAATTTAGAATAAAAATAAATTTTTATTTTTTTTTATAAAACAAAATTTAATGAACTATTTTTTTCCGCCCGTCTCTGACAATCTTTAAAAAAACAAGTTCGCAAACAAGGAATAAAGAAAGTCTTGCCTTATTTATTGTCTCGCGGAAATTAGTGACGACAATGGATCCCCATTATCAGCAAAATAAAATTAATGTGTCAAGCTTACCTAACAAGATCTCCTAGAAGTGACTTCTTCCAAATTGGGACCCCTGACACTTAGCAGTTCAAAATGTAGTTTTTATCTATAAAGTTTTTAATTGTAATTCTTTAATCTAAAGCTACCTACATTATCATTTGAATATAAAAGAAGATCTTAATGGTTTTTATTATGTATTACGATATTGAAAAATTAATTTCTTTCACAGGTATTACTTAGTAATGCAATCCTATGATGAGATCACAATGTGTACACAAAGAACATCCACCATTAAAACATTCAGTGTGATACTTGTAATTGTAAATTTTCATGCATACGAGGCAGTGAGATTTATTTACCAGCCAACAGACCATTCAGCAGTAGAGGGAAAACAAACACATGTTACCTGTATCTTCACAGACATCACCGACGATATGGAAGGAAAATACGATGTCATCTGGACTAAAGAGTCTTACATCATCAGCAAAATAAGTAATGGATTTGATCTCAATCGGTTTAGGTTTCACGATGAATATGCAAACAGACAACACGTTTTAAGGATTGATCCTATCAAGAGGGAGGATGGAGGAAAGTACAGATGCCATTTTCGCTATGGTGGTGAAATACTAAAAATATCCAACGATTGTAAACTAACCATTCGTGAAATCCCATCAAAAGCATACCCACTCATAGTGTTTGGAAAGCCAACTTACAAGACTGGTGACAAGGTCACAATAACATGTTTCTGTGAAAAGACAAATCCAATGGCAAAACTGGAATGGTTACAACCATCAAAAATTGGAGTACTAGGACTAACTACCAAATCACGAGCAAATAATACTCATGCTTGGATTGAAGTTACTTTTCCTGCAACCCTAGAACTCAACGGTGTTTTCTTTGATTGTAAAATAAAAGTGAGAGATGAAATTGTTCCAAGATACTCAGTCAGTAGACAACTTCATATCACTGACGGTAGTGAGTTCTTCATGACTACATCTAAAAAACCATCAAGACAGATACATCAACAATATGTGACACATTCCTTGTCAACTGACACTGTGTTACATGCCTCAAAAGAACAAAATGATAAAACTTTTGCTGAAGGGACTAAAAGGGATTTTGGTTTAGGAGTAGTTTTAGGAGTTGTTCTTGGAGCAGTTCTTGGAGCAGTCATTACCTTAACATTAACTCTATCAGTCATTAAATATAGGAATAGAAGTCACAAACAAAAAGCGCCCTGATTACAGCTGCAATATTATAGAATTCTCCCGATGGAGCTTAGTATGTGATCCATTGTGCTTGATCCAAACAGGTAATAATATGAGGCGCTTATTGCCATAAGTGCCATATACGAAATTCAGTGGCAGATTCAAAAGGGACCATATTTTTTTTTTAATTTAAGAAGTAATGGAGATTTTCAGGCAGTCAATTTGTGAAAGTCCCTTCTTGGGCCCTCTATTTCAAATTCCTAGATCTGCCACTGCAAGTCTAACATATTATTACATAATAATCTTCAAAGGTTTTAATTTACTGATATGTTGTATGTTTACTATATTATTCTAATAATTTACATGCCTCCTCCCCTGGAGGTTAAATTTAAGCTTACTCTACATATAAATGCTCCCAGATGCTTGGTGTGATTTTTCCTCTATCAGATCCTTGGGGTCTGAAGCGGTATCTTGCAACTAGATGGTGACAATTTTCTGTTATAATATCTGTAATCTTTTGAATGAAGCATCCAGGTATCTAACTACACAAAATTCCCCTGGACCCTGCTGGGTGCCTCCACTGGGCCCCGGCTTTTGCATCCTAGCAACTATGCTGCCCCGAGGCCTACAGTATGTACTGTACGCTCTCAGCAACCCTGGTGGCACTCACTAAAGTAGTACATTTCTACTCTGCTACCTTCCACTGTACTGTACTAATGTAATTTGAATAATGAACTCTCACGTGTGTTGCTTTTGTAGTATGACAAATCCTTGTTCAATAAGTTGTGTAATATTTTGTTATTTTTATTGGCATAAATAGGAACTCAAAAAAACGCCCTTAATGGTATGCCTAAAAGGATGGTGGCTATAAATATTTCCTCCAGATTTTGCACGCGTCTGGGTGCTAAATTGTAACAAGCATTTTGTCCTTACCCAAATTAGTATAAGATAAAAAAAAACTTACTCTGACGGTTTTTCTTTAGATTGTTTCACAGACACGCCCTCCGCTACGGCTGGTTTCCTTCGGGAACGGCAGGCTCTCTGGACATCAAGCTGCAGACTGGGTTTGATTTTGGCTATACGGCGTGGATACCTGGATTCCGTCTCCCTAGCGCGTCTCTTTGCATAAGGAACCGGTGCAGCGTTGAGTCTCTTGGTCTTCTCTAAAGTATTTGATGTGTTAGAAGTTGTGGTGGTAGTAATAGTACTGATTTTAGGACTGTTAGAAACTGGAATTAAATTGCAGCTATTTGTCGTTTCAACTTTACTGTTGCTATATAATTTTGTTGTTGGCACTTTCTTCCATGACTTAGATAGACGTGGTTTCTTCCTTTTAGGTTTGACTTTCTCCATTTCTTCCTCTTCCTCACTGGCGCTTGTCGCCGTCTGGTTGCCTCGAAGCGAGGCGTACATAGCTTTAAGGATGTCCTGTGCTTCCCGCCAGTGCATACCATCGTCATCCTAAAAAACAAATCAATGGTCAAAGGTCAATAGCTGCTCATAGCATACATTATATTCGCCTCTATGCATTTTAATATAATGATAAAATAACATTGGTTTTGCAAATATCTCCAAAGCTAACAGCTTCATAATAAATGAGCACCAACACCAAAGCCATATTCCAATTTTTAGTTACTTGTTAATTTGAATTTTTTTTTTTTATCCTTAAGAAATAAATATTAATGAAATGTGAATAAAATAATTAATAATTTCATGAATTTGTTGTTTTGTTTCACAATGTGAATTGATGTATATTTTTACCGATTTGTGTTTGCGATTAATGTTACGCATTGTTTTTAGTTTTGAAATAATAAATAACAAATATTTAATTTTTTTTAATTTATATAAATCACAAACATTTGTTTCACTCAAAAATTATCATGGCTCCATAGACTGAGGGACAGTGGAGAAGGAGACTCTACAGTACATGTAGCTACCTGTATGAGGTGAGGGACCAAACTAAGCAGATGGAGAGTACTGTAAGAGGAGTGATGGAAGTTCTACAACCAATACCCTTCCCATACAAACATGATATATTGGCATTTGTGGCCATAATACCTCTATACATTATACTTATAGGCGCTCATAGGAAAACCTTGACCAAATTTTTAGGAGATGCCTTACTTGAAACGGTGGGATACATGATGTGCTGGTTACAGCTCTATCAATAAAATTATTTGGGATTGAATGACACTTCTACCCAGTGGGATGTGAACATACTCATAATCTCCTGGGTAACAAAGAAGTAGGCCATGCACATAATCATCCATTGATTGTAGCTGCTACAGATCAATATCCGATGCTCTCTCCAGGTGGACTAAAGGTCATAAGAAATTTACATAATTCGCATAAATTTAAATAAGCCAAGTTGAAGCACAAATGTTTTAGAAATGCAATGTATTACATTAATGCAGGTTAACCTCTATTTTCAAAGATGAAAATTGTTTTGAAACAATTGTGACTCATTACAGTTTAATAGTCAATGACAAATACAATCTGCTATAAAAGTCAAGTCTACAGAGCTTTGAATGTCTTTAGCATGAGCTTCTATATATCAGCCACCTTGAGATTTGAGCCAAATCAGCATGAACTTCTGGCAGCTGATAGAGAACGGTATCATAGAGCACCGTCCCTACAACCACCAACCCAGTCTACTTATTTCCAATAGCCCCCACCAGTGTCTGATTGTTTGACTTTTATAAGCCTTTGGCCTGCATAGCCTTATGAAAGGTCATAAGTGAACCGTATATTTAAAATCATCGATAGCAATGATGGGTAACAGTCTCTAGGAACAGTTCTTCTGAAGAACGATTTCCTGTAGCAGTAGAAACAAGGCCAATAAAAAAACTGGTTCTTTGATCATGCCAAAGAACTACTTTCCCCCTTTCCCCGTAGAACAATTTCTTAAGGCACTGCAGTAATTAATCCTTGTCCTTATTTGATTACCAAACAATAACAATAAGAGAACAGTTTCTATCTTGATTTCCAAGGTAGAAACACATCTTTCAATACCTTGCAGGGCCACCTAGAGTGGCCCTAGGGCCTTGGGCAGCAAAGCTGCTGGGCCCCAAGAGTGGTAGTCTTTAACACTAGCAGAGGCACTCACCTGGGTCCAGGGGCAGGGGCCTGGAGGGATTTAATAGGGAAAGCACCTGTAACTCCGCCATTTTATGTACATGTAATTAGATGCTAATTCTGACAATTATAACCTTTGAATTTTTATCCCTCACTTTATTATGCTTTTTATTGTTTTGTCCATGCTCAGGAGGCATGGGTTCTACCTTCCCTACCCCCAACCCACCTTACTCGGCAGTAGTATATTTATTAGTATTACTTTATAATTATTTTATTAGTTTATATCCCTCACTTTATTGTTTTGTCTAAGGCCCAGAGCCCAGTTTCCACCTCCAACACCCCACACCCCCACTTCCAACTAACTCGGCAGTAGTGTACACAAAACAGTAGGTACTATTACTTTATCATTATTTTATTAGTTTATTATGTAATCATAGACTGGTTGAACTGAATGAACATTACATTAGATA